TACATTAAAGTAGGAGAAAAATAAGGATTAAAGTAGATTTCTTGTCAGGAACACTTTAGATGAGAAGACAGTGGCATAACTGAAAGAAACAAATCTATCCAGTTAGGATGCTAGACTCAGCAAAAATGTCCTTCAAAAATGGAAGTAAAGAATCATTCACACATTGGAAAGCTAAAAGATTTCATCACCAATGGGCCCACACTATGAAAAGTGTTTTAAAGTTCTTTTTGGTAGATGGAAAATGGTATCAGTTGAAAACATGGATCTATACAAAGAAATGAGTGCTAGAAATGTAATTGCATAGGTAAATATATGTTTTTTTTTATTATTTAAATACCTTTAAACTGTAACTGTTTGAACAAAAATAAAAACAATGCAGATGGGATTTAAGACCTAACTAAAAGTAAAATATGTAACACAAACACATAAAGGTTGGGAGCGGAGAAATGGAAGTACCAGATGTTATTAAAAGTTATGGCCTCACTTGATAGACAATGATACATTAAAGATGTGAGCAACCACTAAACATCAAAATGAAGAGGTACTACAAATAAGCTACCAGATTATAAGGAATCACAAAAACTTCCAGTCCATCTAAAAGGAGTCATAAGGACAAGGGAAGAGGAACACAGACCACACACGAGGTCAAACAGAACAAATGTCATGAAATGTAGGCTTGAACCTACTTGTATAAATAATCACATTAAGTATAAATGTGACTCTAAATAACTTGAAATAGAATGCAGAGATTGTCAGGTAGTATTTAAAACAGGAAGAAAAGAAAACAAGAGCCAACATATGCTGTGAAAAGGAAACATTTTAATTCTTAAATACAAACACACAAATAAGTTAAAAACGAAAGAATGGAACAAGATATACACTTGATTCTCATTATTCACAGTAGCTCTGTTCTATAATGTTTCTATGAACACTGAATTAGTGAATACTGAACTATTGCTCCCAACTGAAATATGTGCATGTATCTCACATAGATTAAAATCTTAAATACTAAAAATAACTCATTCTGGTAGCTTTTTTATTTTACCAAAGAGAAAATGGGGTTCAGAAATGTTAAGTGACCATGCCCCTAATAGACGGCAGTCAGACCCATCCAGCTGGCCCAGAGCTGGGGTTTCTTGCCCTGCCTGGCCCCTCCCATCTCCATCCCTGGGCATCTCTGTATGAGCCAAAACTAGAGAGAGCATCACCCAGTTGCACCTCATTGGGGAACATGTGTGGCAGTGACTCAGATTCTTTACTGAGAATTTGAGAATGTCTGAGAATGACTGCAAAAACACCACAGGCTTTGATTTGGCGGTTATAAATCAATTTTAGCTTGTAAGTGAATTTGCATATCCATCTCTGAATAATGAGGGTCAGCTGTACCATGCCAATACTAATCAAAAGAAATCTGGGGTGGTTATATTAATGTCAGACAGAGTAGACTTTAAAACAAATAATATTATTACTAACAAAGGTAATTTCATAATGTTAAAGGGGGGATCAGTTCATTGAGAGAACTAAATGCATCAAATAGCAGAGCTTCAAAATATGTAAGAAGTTACTGATAGAGCTGCAAAGCAGAATAGACAAATCCACAATTATAGTCAAAAGAGCTTTTCAAAACTCTCATAGTTGTTAGAACAGTAGACAGAATATTGTAAGAATATAGAATATTAGAACACTATGACCAACCTAACTGACATGGAGAACTCAATCCAACCACCACAAAGCACACATTCAGGTGCACACAGAACACACTTACCAGAGCAGACCTTGTTCTGGGCCGTAACTTTTAAGTCTCAATAAATTTAAAAGGATTCAGGTCACGCCAACTCCATTCCCTGACCACATAGAGTTAGAACACAAGATATCTCCAAATATTTGTAAACTAAATGGCGCACTTCAAAATAACCTGTGCATCAAAGAAATCAGAAGTGTTACTAGGAAGCGTTGTGAACTGCATGAAATGAGCACAGCATGTCAGGCTTCCTGGGATGCCAGTAAAGCAGTGCTTAAGAGGAAATTTATGGCACTAAATGCCTCCATTAGAAAATAAAGTCTCTAATCAATCACTGCAGTTTCAGTTTAAGAAATTTAAGAATTTAACCAGCATGTGGAGCAGAGATGGAAACTACTGTGGAGCAAATGCAGATCACACAGAACAGGGAATGCCAAGTGAGAAAGAGCCAGCATAGGCTGAGGGGAGAGATTGGGAGATTTTGAGGACATTTCAGGTGTAAGAAGCCCAGGAAAAGGAGGTACTAGCTATGAGAAGACAAGAATAGCAGGAGGTCGATTGCATCAGTGGGACCCATTTACCTCTGTTGGTAAGTCACAGGTGGGAAGCTAACAGAGCTATAAGGTCGGGAGGCTGGGGAAGGACTCCACCCGGGGACCTGCCACGAGGCCAGAGGGCTGGGCCACATGTGGAGGAGTTGTAGAGAGGGGGCCTGAAGCTGTGGGGGACCCGTTTCCCTTTCCTCCATGAAGTGGGAAGGGACAAAGCTGACAGAGACATAGGTCATGCATCTATTTGGCTCGTTACAGAGCACCTGCTGGGGGCCAGGAACATTCCTGGGCACTGGGACAGAGCAGTGAATGGACGAGGGCTCTCGGCGCTCAGGGCCCCAGACTACTGCAGTACGCCAAAGGGTTAAGGAGTGGAGGGGATCCTGAGGCGGGAACAACAGTGCTTCTCAAGCAGCCTGCCTCTGTGGGGTGGGTTGTTGAGCAAGTAGGATCACTAGTGGGATAGCCGTCTGGGTCAGCACAGGGTCAGGTGAAATTAAGGCACATTCTACTGGCCATCAGTGGGGTCCCAACGTCTGCTCCAGTGTCATGAGCCGTGCTTCTCCTCACGGGCACTCTTTCTCCCCCAGCAGTTCGGTTCTGTGCAGTCTGTGAAGATGTTTCAGATGAGGTTCTCTTTCCTCAAAGACTCATTCATTCATTCAAAAACTTTATTAAGCCCCTTCTGCATGCCAGGCACCATTCCTGCTGTTTGGGCCAGTGCCCCTCCCTCGTGGAGCTTGCACTGTAGTGGGGGACAGATGGTGGACACTCAGTGCGTAACAAAGGGCATATTCTGTGGGTCCTCAAAAGGAGATAATGCCTGGGAGAAAGAAACATTATAAGAGGGCAAGAGGGGCCAAGACTGGAGAAGGCAGGTCGTGCTGTGGCTGGTGGTTAGGACAGGAGTCTGAGAGGTGGTGTCCAAGCTTTCTGGGGGAGGGCAGTCTGTTCACTCACATGCTGACACCAAGCGTCCGCAGTGAGAGCCAGCATGCGTGCGTGATGGGCAGCCAGGGGCTAAGGTGGCCGAGGGGAAGAGGAAGGGGAGAGATTGGGAAAGACGGCGGAGAGATTGCATGGCGGCAGGAAGACCTGGGGTACCATCCCTCCTCGGTGTCTGTTAGCAAGGCCGCTTGGCAGGCTCGTGAGGGCTCACCAGCCCTAGCCCTCCACAGGCGGCAGGAGCCAGAGCAGTCCCTACAGACTGTGTTTTCAGATGCCCTCCCTTCCCGTTGCAGGGCCAGCGGGCTGGGGTGAAGGAGAGTTCAGGCAGCCGGGAGGGGCAGATAAAAGGCCCCAGGAGCACAGTCTCTGTGGCGGGCTCCCTCGGGATGATTAAGGGACCCAAGCGACTTCCTTGGTCTGCATAACTGCCTGACCTGGTCTTCGGAAATGGCAGAGACATGTTGAGTGAATATCCAAACCCATCCCAACCCCAAGTAGTTTCTTAAACCCATAAATCAGCCTTTATATATTTCACCTCCTAGAAACAGGCCAGGGCCTGAGCGCTGGAGAGCCCGCAATCGTACAATTAGATCTCACCAGCTCTGCCTGGGCAGCTGTCGGAGGAGCAGCCAGCTGCAGGTGGTGGGGCTCGAGCTCCTTCACACACCCGGGACGTGCATCAGGACTGATGAGCACCCTGAGCATCCACGCATATCGGAGGCTTAGAATGTTGTTTTATTGCACCAATTTTTTTTTTTTTTTGAAGCATGAATGCCATGAATTCTGGTGGTAGAAAGTAACAGCAGAAGAAAGTCACTTTCCTCTGGCATAACAATGCAAAACCAGCTGAGTGTGGGCTGCATGACATTAGATGGGACGCTCGTCTGACGGCTGCCTGCTGCCCCCGCCCATGGCTCTCTCTCCCTTTGGGTGAAACCAGCGCAGGCTATGACCACTGTTTCTCTGGTGTGTCTCATGCTCTCCTCTTTGTTGGTAATAAGGAGGCAATTCTTCACACAAGCTATAGAGGATTAATTTTAAAGTGGTGCTGTGTAGAGAGGAAACTTTTCAAATGGCAGATTTTTGCAAATTTTATGCATTTAGACTGCAATGTCTTTAGGGGCGTTTTTGCGGTAGCGGGGGGATTTCCTAGTGGGGAGGCCCTAGTTCTGTAAACTCAGGAACTCCTGTGGCTTCGATGTGCAGGCACATGGCAGGCTCTGGGCTTCACCTCAGGGCCCAGCTGCTTTCCCACTCAATCGCCACCAGCAGAGTAGTCCCGCATGCCCAGCTGGGTCAAGTGCTGAGGGTGAGAGAGGAAGTCTGCCCCAGATTGGGGCCAACCTGTCCAGTGGCACTGTGGGCAGGACCGCCTTCACGCAGCGGGTCTCACAATTCGGGGCATCTTGAGGCTTCTTCAGCATCTTTTAGAGGCTTTGCTTCTATGAACATTCTAACAAGGATGTTTTTGAAAATCTCCTGAGGTGTTAGTTCATCACGGCCGAGAAGAATAGTTCAAAGACTTTACAGAGATCTGGGAACACGCTGTGCCCATGGTGGCCTTGGGACACACCATCCAGCTCCTCCCTGGGAAGGGAGGAGGCAGGGGGGTGCCTTTTCAGGGTTGCTCACCCCTGAAGTGGGGCCAGGCCTGGAGACAGAAGGCTGTGGGCACTGGGAGGGGAAGCCAGGGAGAGTCCTGTCGTGCACTACAGGTTGCAAACTGACCTCTCAACCCCACTCTCTGACCCGTGCTCTAGCTGCCCACGCCTCAGCTCAGGCTCAGGATCGACCGACAGCCACAGTGTCGCCCCTGCGCACCCAGAACTCCCCATCCCGCCTGCACACCTCCAGCCTCAGGCCCCACTCAGTGGTGTCCCCACAGCACGTCCACCAGCCCCCGGTGCACCTGGCCACCGGGACGCTGTGCCCCCGGCCAGCCATCCTGCTCACGTCAGCAGCATCAGCCATCACACCTCCCAACATCAGCGCCGCCAGCCTCAGTGGGGAGGCCGGAGGAGGGCCTGTCAGCAGCTTGTCTACATCCAGCCCCACCAGCACGGGATGCAAGCCAGATGAGAGGAAAAATGAAAAGGTAAGTGGCCCATCCTGGGCAAGCCCATTGTCACCCTGTGGACCAGACACCAATGACACTCAGCACAATTGAGACCTGAAAGCAGGCACTGTCCTGCCCTTGGTGTACCAGCTCAGGGCCACTGTGCTGCTGTGGCCAGTTGGGCCCTGGGGGCTGGACCCTCAGCAAGGGACTATCTTTGTATTGGCTTTGCTGTACGAATAGTATTTGCACTTCCTCTTGGCCATACCACATTCTGTAGATCTTTTAAAACTTTTCTAGCCACGATTTGGATGAAACACTCCACACTTAAGTTGGGGTATTCAAGGCAAGGACAGCCTCTCCTGTTCCTTGGGGACAATATCAAAGCTGTTAACTGCTCAGTCCTCTGCCCAGTCCCCTGGAGGCACACCCACCTGCCTGCCACCCTGCGCACTGACTCCTCGGGGCCCCTGGACCGTGCTCAGGCCTGGTCACCACCTGTCTCCTCTGGTCCATGCTCCCTGGTGTGGACGAGGCCCCAGTCATGGCCACTACTCCTGCCAGCAAAGCTCAAGAGTCCTTGAGACCAACTGGGAGCCCTGGCTGAAGTGAAATGCTGCCTTGCTTTGTGTCCATGTCTGTTTGAAATTCACTCAGGCCTCAGGCTGCTCCCTTGCACCTTACAGCCTGGCTAGCAGATGCAGCTGGGTCTCACCAGGAGACAGAGGGGGGTGCCCCACCTTCATTCTTGGCACCCTCCCTGGAAGACTAGATTCCTCAAGCTTCTGAGCTGCTGAGAGAAAAACAGGGAATACACTTAGAAAGGGAAAGGTCATAACCATTCTGTAAACATTTCTGGTTCTTTACCAAAAACTGTCCTCTGTCCAGTTTGCAAAACAGGTAGGGCTGGCTTCCACGTGGCTCATTAGTGAATGCAGTCAGGCTTGTGAGAGTGATGCATTGAGAGTGATATTGTTCCGTATCTTAGCCTCCTAAGTGTGCAGCTAATGAAAACCAGCCCTGGTCTGCTCCCAGCATCTCCAGCCCATTGGCATTGGCATGCATTTTGCCTTCACGCAAGGTTTACTCTCTGCTCACAGTTCCTACATCTGCATGGAACAGGGGTTCCATGGCACACCCAAAGGGTCCCTTCCAATGAAGGACTCCTGGGAGGAAGGCTGCTTCCAGAAGGGAAGCAGCAGATATGTCAGCGTAGCTCTGACAGCTCCCCAGGTGGGCGTGGCAGCAGAAAGGCCCAGGTCAACACCAGCTTGCGCTGAGCCAAGCTCAGGGCTCACAGCACGGGGGTGTTCATGCTGTGACCCTGGGCAGGCAGTCAGGTGGACTTCATAGGGTGAGTGAGCGCGTGTCCAGCCCCAGGGGGCAAGTCCAGCATCCTTCCAAATGCTCTGTGTGGTTTTCAGTCCTCACCTCTCAGACAAAGAGAAAAAGAAGCACTGGTCTGAAACACCACCTGTTAATATTTTTCCCTTCTGTATTTTCACTTGAAGTTTTTCTAACTTATAGTAAGGTGCAAAACATCTGCACTGCCATTTCTAGCAGAAGAGCCAAGATGGTGGCTGCCCAAGTGCCTGCAGTGCGGCCCGAGCCAGCACTGCGCCCCGGCGGGGAGCCTTGGCTGCCATCTCCCCAGGCCCGCCGGGACCACAGCCAGGCAGATTCCACAGGGAACACACAGCCCAGCCTTCAAATCCATTTCTGGGTAACACCATCCTTGAAGCAAGCATGTCTAAGTATGGTGAAAGGATTCCTCACAGAAACTGGCAGTGTTGTCCAGGTGGTTCTGTTACTGAATTTTCCCCAGGAAAAGCCCCACTGTCCACAGAGACCCAAACCCCAGTGCCTGGGTGTTCTCCTAGTGTGAGCTCACCGAAACTCCATCCAGGCACTTCCTGCACATGCACAAGAGACAAGACCACAGCTGATGGGGCTCCCAGGCTCCTGCGGCAGGGGCAGGAGTAACTCTGCTAAGAGCATAGGGATTTATACCCTGACGTTCTGGGAGTGGAGAATGAAGAGGCCTCAAACCAGCTCATGTGCGTCAGTCACCCTGGTGGACACCCTAGAAGGCTGGCACTCTGCTGGCTAAGCCTCAGGACCAGGCCTCAGCTCTGCTCAGGCCATGCACATTGGTGGGGAGCCTTCCTATAGATGGGTCCTGAGCCAGGATTCCTCTTCTTGAGTGTTCAGCCCTCAGCCTGCTCTCCCAGATGCTCTTCCTGCCCACCTCCTCATGCTACTGGCTCCCTACAAGGGCTCCCCACCAGCACCCAGCAGCTCTAGCCTCCTGGAGGGCTGCCGCTTCCACCAGTGGTGCACAATTCCACAGTGCCCCCGGTGCTGACCACAGCAAGCACTGGGGATGCCCCCCAGGCACCCTGCAGAGGGAGGACTGAGGACCACCTGGGGAAGAGCTGGTTCTGATCTCAGCACTCCAGGCGGCATTAGGGGCTGCTCTTCAGTGCCTGGGTTCCCTGGGGCTGACCAGGGGTCTGTTCTGTTTGGGGACTGATCTGCCTGGGGTGGCCCTGGGTGCAGGCAGGCCTCCCCTTCCAAGGAGATCTGGGAAGGACACTTACCTTGAAGCTGCCAGTCTGCAGCACATCTCCGGGGCAGCTATCGAGTGCAGGATAGCCCAGGCTGCATGGGCCCCATCCCGGTCTCCCAGGCTGGAATGGTCAGAGCAGCCAGGGCACATGGAGGATCCTGGGGCATGCAGAAGACCCGGGGCATGGAACCTATGGAGGCCACTATCTTTACAAGGGGTGGCAGGTAGGCACCCCATGGCTTTCCCTTCCCAGGGCTTGGGTCTAGAGCTTCTGAGGGAAGGGACTGAATACAAGTTTTGGAGGCATCTTTGTAGCACCCACAAATCACAGAGTAGAAACAAAGTCTTGGAACACTTTTAAGAAGATAATCTGTAGGATTAAAGTTAACTCTTTTGCAAAAAAGCATTTTAAAAATAAATTTTGTGCTTAAAACAATCACCAAACACCACCTGTTAGTGGCTGTTTCTTATTTCTGATCCCCATGAACACATCAGCCCCAAATGATATGTACCAGCTGTTCCTCGGGGCTACTCCAGGGCCAAGTCATCAGAAAGGGGACTCTGTGCCCGTGGGCTGAGCCACAGGCAGCTGGTGGTGAGCGCAGGAAGGAAGAAGCTCCTGCAGCCGTGAGCCTCTGGTCCTATAGCCTTCCCCTGCCACCCAGCCAGATGTCCATCCCTCCCTCCCTGGCCTGTGTGCTGCAGTGAGTAGGTGCTGGGTCCTGGGGGCCTTATAGGGAGAAGGGGCAGCCTGGCCTGGAGGAGCATGGAGTCTAGGATGGTGATATAGACTGGGAAACAGGCAACAACTGCGACAGTGTGGTGGCCTGAGGACAGGGAGCAGAGGGCGGCTGGTCACCTGGGGGCAGGGAGCAGAGGGCATCTGGTCAGCCTGGGGGCAGGGAGCCTCCTGGGGGAGCTTCTGCCCACAGGTGGGGTGCCCACCAGATGAGGGACCACCCCAAGCAAAGGCCAGAGGGCCGTCCTGGGCTGAGGCACCACAGACAGGTGGCAGTAGGTAGCAGCTCCCACAGGGCAGCTCCATGCACTGGTTGGCCTGGAGTCATCTAGTGCTGGACAGGCAGTGAGCTGGAGGCCTGGCCTCCCCCTCCAGCAGGGGTGCCCCATGCCAACCTACCCTCTCCCCTCCCCTCCCAGTGAGGCACAACTGCACTGACCTCCTCCCTCCCCTTCAACTAGCACACCCCCATCCCTGAGAGCTCTGCTGCCATCTTGCCTGCCCAACGCCCTCCTTGGCATCACTTGCCTTGTCCTTGGACTCCATGCAATATCTTCCAAACACACTGGAAAATGACCATCAAGAGTCCCAACACCAATTTCATGGTTTGGGCCACCATGTTTTAGATCAGACGGGATACACAGAATGGAGCAGAGGGACCGGGTGAGCCTGCACAGCACATGGTAGGGTCAGGGTACTAGGGAAAACATTGTCGTGTGCTAAGACCTGACACAAAACTTAGTTCAAAAACGTCCCAGAGCCTTAGCAGGCCCTGGAGAGAGCCTTGCCCCTTGGAGGCATCTGATGATGTTTGTAAAGAAAGCTGGGAAAACTGCTGCCAGTAACTTTTCACTCCCATGACTTGCGAGGAATCCTTTATGGACCTTCCTGCTTATGGATGAGATAGTTTCAGTTCCACAGAATGATAGAGTATTGGAACTGGTAAGAGCTTCTTCTGAAGACCTTTTTATTAAACTCTTCGTTTTCTTGGTGCTCCTGAGGCTCAGAAATGTTGAGAGGTTTGCCAGGGGCTGCACAGTGTTAGCTGAGGAGCCAGCCCAGGCACTCGATTCTCCCAGGCCCTGTGACGCTGCTTCTGCAGGCTCCGATGTGCTGGCATGAGAGGCTCTGCAGCCGAGGCCTCGGCCGTCCTGGGCTTGTCCAGGAGGCACAGCAGGGAGTCTCGGCTAGCTGCTGGCAGGAGGCTCTGCCGTCAGCCCAGGGAGGGGAACCTGAGTCTGAGGGAGCTTCCACCTGCAGTCAGAGCCCACGTGACAGCAGAGCACTTGACCAAGTCCATGTGGACCGCATGACCTTTATTGTCAAGGCTTTGGGGATGGGTTGGTGGGAGGGACAGCCCAGCCCATGACAGCAGGGGCCTCATGGGAAGTATGCTAGCAGAACTTGCTCTTTATTATTGAAGCCCCAGCCATCTGAGAGCATGTATATCCATGGGATAGGTGACGAAAAGGCTTGTATTACAGAGGGTTATAATTACATTTTCAATGAGAACCCAGGGACGTGCAGTCTTAAGGAACCTTGAGGAGGGAGCTCCTTAGAGCAATCAGGCAGCTTTGTCTAAAGTGCAGAACCACCAGTCAGGACCTCACTTTCTTTCTGGCTGGGGCTCGGTGAGTAAACCTTCACAGCTGCTGCCCTGACAACACAGGCGGGGGTGGCCTGCGGTAGGCTCTGCAGCTGGTATCTCAGTCTGCTAGCGTGTTTCCAGTT